ATGATAGCCATAATATTTTCTTGCAAAACATTACGTGTTATGTAGCTTCCTTATCAGTGGTTCATCAGAGTGTTGCATCTAGGACAGACTTGCTCTGTCATTCTTTGTTTGTAAACATTTATTTCTTCTGAAATTAGATCTTTACCAGGCCTTGACAGTACAAAATGGAGGAGTTAGTGCACCTGAGGTGGAATACCCACCATTCAACATTAACTGAAAATCTTAGTAACCTTCGCGACAAGGTAAAGATGAGGGAGTTCTACATGAGTTTATTTCTCTCTTTTTCTTTCAAAGAAACAAAAATGGTGATTGTATAAAAAATCAGACCAGATATTCATGAAAATACTTTCACCAAATTTTAAGATTATTATTTCTTATTATCAACTGACATTGCTCTCTCTCTCTTTCACTCTATCTCTCTTTCTCTCTGTGTGTGTGTGTCTCTTTCTCTTTTTAGTGTGGTTTTTCTTTCTTTTTCTCTCTCTCTCTTTGTCTCTCTCTGTCTGTCTCGCTCTCTCTCTCTTTCACTCTCTCTCTCTATATCTCTCACTCTCTCTCTGTTGCTCTCTCTCTCTGAGTTTCTCTCTCTCTCTTTGTCTCTCTCTGTCTGTGTCTCTCTCTGTCTGTGTCTCTCTCTGTCTGTCTCGCTCTCTCTCTCACTTTTACTCGCTCTCTCACACGCACTCTCACTCGCTCTCCCTCTCTCTCTCTCTCTCTCTCTCTCTCTATTTCGTTTACAGCAAGTGTTTACAGATGTAACAATTAGCTGTGGAGACCAGTTTTATCCAGCTCATCGTTTAGTCCTGTCAGCTTGCAGCAGCTTCTTTGCACGAGCTTTGTCTGTGGCCACCTGCAGATCACCAGTCCTTTTGCTCCATGGCATAGAGCAGTCAACTCTAGAACAGTTGCTGGTGTTCATGTATGATGGTGAGGTAAGTGTGGAAAGTTTGGGTGTGTGAGTGTGTGTGCGAATGCGTGTGCACATGTGTGTTTTACCTGCTTCTTAGGACTTTCCTACTCTAAGTAGTTACAAAGCTTTAAAATCATGAATTGATATTTATGTTTCATCTACCAGTCAGTAAATTAATTATTCTATCCATTAACAAATCAATTCCAAACAATAACTCAGACTATCAATTAACATCTATAATTCATATTTATTTTATATCTATTGATATTACTCCTCTTCTGTATATGAGAAGAGAGAGAGAGAGAGATTAGTATAATATTTTACATTTTTTATGGTTAGCAGCATTTTGTTGTTAAATTTTACAACAAGGAAAGGAAAAATAAAAATAAATACTATATCTACATGTACCCATTTCTCCACAGGTCACCATAAGTCACAGCAACCTTCCTAGCCTTCTGAAAGCAGCTCGATGGTTAGGAATAACAGGACTACAGAGTCCTTTCAACAGGTCAGATCTATCGACAATACAGTCTTCAAATTTGCAGGGAGATTCATCCCATATTTTGGACATATGGACCCTTTTCAACCAATTAGTGTCTTCATCAGGAGATTCCAGGACATTAGAGCAGGTTGCAAGTACATTACAACAAATAAGAGCCACATTAGAGCAAGAAGCATGTGGAAATATAACAAACACAGAGACAAACACCCAACCATCACAAATTGATTCGGAGCCATTTCCTGCCAGCAATAGTGAGGATGAACTGGAAGCATCTGTTGAATTCAAACCCATTTTAATTGAAGGAGATCCACACAATCTCCTAGGCAGTGAGGAGATGGCAGGCACAGATAACACTGAGGGTAGAATGAGTGATGGAATTACTTTTAGTAACATCACTGAACGCTTCGTAAACAGCCCTTGTCCTTCTCGACAGAGCTTTGAGAGCAATACCTTTGAAGGGTGGGATAGTGAGTCTGTTTCATACAGGAGGAAGAGTTTAGAACAGTTTGTAAAAATTCAGACTGGTGTTGATTCAGAAGAAAATTCTCAAGATATAGTTCTGCGTTATGAGGGTAGTTCCAGCGAACCGGAAAAGGTAAGTAGAAGTGTGTGTGATGTACTTGCCAAGCACTTAGAAGCAGTGATTTAGATAAATAGATTAGAAATTTAGGAAAGTCTCGTTTGTGTATTATGGTTAATATGTGAGTATTTATAATAGTTATGACCATGTATTTAGAGTAATAGTAAAAAAGAAGCATCACAGGTAAGTATGATCAAGTATTGAAATGAGAATAAGAACTGAAAACTTGAAAATATGAATTTAAGTATTTTTGTATACAAGATAGTTGTGCCATATTACTTCAGTTTTGATTACGATGATAAAGGTATTGGGAGTTGTTTCATCACAGAGGATGAATATTGGTTGATTAAAATCACACTTCACAATATAGAAATATTACAATTCAACCACAGCTTATTTCATTGTCTATATTTTAATATTTTCCAGGAGAATGTAGACCACAAACTGAAAAATGCAACTAAAAGATTTTTATGCTGCAAGCACTGCAAGAAAACCTTCACCGTACGAAAAGATTTGGTTGAACATCTTAAGACACATGAGTTTCGAGATAGCTTCTGTGTAATCTGTGAAAAGCAGTTCTCAAGCACAGAAGCCTTAGACAAACACTTACGACTGCGCAGTGTGTACTCTTGTTCAGTGTGTAGATATATAACACATTGCAAGCAGCGCCTCACCAGACATCATGCTATGCATAAGACAAAAGAAGAAATGGTTTTATTAAATGACGAACAGCCTGCACCAGCATCCCAGACTCATACCAAGGAGAACAACACATCTGCTGGAGAGACTTTAAAAACAGATTCAGGTTCTTTCAGGTGTCCTGCATGTGATGAAATTTTTATTGACTACCAAGAACTTAAGACTCACAGCACCAGTGGTTGCAATAGATTAATTTGTAAGTACTGCAATAAAATCTTCCTCCCCTCCAAATCCAGACAGTACAATCGCCATCTCAAGACACACAAAATCAAAAAAAGGTTTTCATGTCCCTACTGCCCTTATATATGTGATCGAAAAAGAAGCCTTACAGACCACATATCCAAACACACAGGTGAATACCGATTTTCATGTTCATTGTGCGATTATAAATGCACAAGAAATGTGTCACTTAAGCTCCACATGGAGAAAAAACACAAAGATGTGAACTGTATTCCAAAATCTGAATAAGGTTTACATAGTTATAATTTTACCTGATATATGTATTTTTTCCCCTTAACCCAATGCTGCTGGGAAGATGTGATGTTCACTGTAGTATTGTTTTGTGAAATATATTTACAGATAGATGGCTCCATGAGTGCTCAGCCACCATGGAGTTGATTTGTAGTCTACATCAGCTAACCTGATTTTCGCCATCTTTTGAGTTTTTAGGGAAAATTTATTTATTATTATTTTTTTGTTAATGCTGTTAACCCATTATTGAAAGTTGGTATCTAATCTAATTAAGTTGGTATCTAATATGTGCCATATGCAGTCAGCCAGCTCCAAGTTGTGTGCTGTAAATACTTCTTCGCTTGTTTGGCTTTGGGCATGGGGCTAAAGCCTTGTTTTTGTCTCTAATGCTGGAAAATTGTTTTTGTTATATACAAACACACAGAATAAGGTAAATATGTGCTCCTTATGCTTCCAATTTTTCACTTAAGTGGCCAACCATCCACTATATGGTTCAGGAAGAAGCCATAACATCGGGTTAATGGTGATTCTGTTATTATTATTATTATTGATAATATAATTATTACAATGTTGTTAGCAATACTAATAGTAATATAAAATCAATTTTTTATGAAAATCAAGGAAAATGCTAAACAAGTGAGATAGACCAGACTAGTGATTGACTCATTGGTGGCTAAGCACATGTAGAGACACCTATGTGTAAATACAGTAGTAAACTAATTCCACTGTACATGCTATCCCTGGTGGCACTGTCATAATATGTGTGTTTTGCATGTGTGTGAGTTGGATGCATCTATTCATGTGTGTGTATGTATGTATGTATGTATGTATGTATGTATGTATATTAATATATATATATTATATATATTATATTATAATATATATATATATATATATATAATAATACAAATATATACATATATATATATATATATATACATTATATATATACATATACATATATATATAACATATTATATAACATATTATATATATATATATATATATATATATATACATATATATACATACATATATATATACATAATATACATATATATATATTATACATATATATATATACATATATATATATACATATATATATATATACTATATATTATAATACATATATATATATATACATATTATATACATATATATATATATATATATATATATATATATATTATATACATATATAATAATATATATATATATAAATATATAATATATAATATATATATAATATATATATATATATATATATATATATATATATTATATATATATAATATATAATATATACATACAGAAACACATAGATGCATAATTTACATGTGTATGGGTATTCTCCAAGTGTGTTTGTATGATTTGCAGAAGTTTCATAATGTATGACTGAAACTTAAGTTTGAGAACTGATAACATACACCTTTACTGTATTTTGTTGTTTTTTCTTCTTTTTTTCTAATTTTTGGATAGTCAAAATGACATACACAGCCATTACAATTATGTTTGAACTTAAAATTCATATCAAGATAGATATGATACAGAAATGTGTATAGAACAAAAATGTTAGGAGAGCATTGTATGTGTCTATCACTTTTAGAGATTTTATGTTCTGTATTTAAAACAGAAACAAATATTTTTATAGGAGTTATATTTTCTAATATTATGTTCTGTTTATTAGTAAATTGTTCTTTCTGACTTTTCTGAGAAGAAAAACAATGTTTTATGGTGTTCTTTACAAATCCAAATAGACTGGTTACTTACCTGTCATGTTCTCTTGTGACAAATCATTTTATTTTGGTTAATTTAAAAAGTGGGAAAGATTTTTTTTATGCATTCATTTCATTTTTGATTTATGAAGATGGTGCATACAATAATTGTTGAAAAAAGGAAAAAAGAAAATGGAAGGAGAAAAGAATGTTTGAGTTAATATATTTACAACTAGCAAGGAGGATTATGGTTGGAAAATTCTTGAAGTAGTGTGTGTGTGTGTGTGTGTGTGTGTGGTTGGGTGTGGGTGGGGTGGTTGTGGGGTGGTGTGGTGGGTGTGGTGGGTGTCGTGTGCGTTGCGTGCGTGTGCGCAGTTATGTGTGTTTTCTATGTGGAAGAGAAATAGAAACCAGAGATAGTTTTAAGAAGATTGTGAAATTAGATATAGGTTTAATTTGTGTTTTCACATTTTATCATGAAATCAATATATTCACAAAGATGAAGATGCTAATTGATCTATTTATCGGTAATTGAGATAAATCACTTCAGCTCTATTTTGTATTTTTCTTTATTTGATATAAGGATTAAATAAATATTTGATAGAAGTGTATATTGAACATCTAAATAACCATATTCCGCCCCATTTCATGCCTGTTGTTGCTGTAGGGGGACTTAGGAGACAGAGACTAAGACCCAATGTTGGGAGCTCCCCTCTTGGCCTCCCCCCCCTAAACCCATGCCCATTGTTGTTATGAAGGGGCTTAGTGTATGGAAACTGGGACCCAATGCTGGGGATCACCCCTGCCTTGGACCTTAGCCCTCAACTTGACTAATTTTGCACGTTTTTTTTACCCTTCCCCTTTTCGTTGCCTTCTCTTTTCCAACACTTGCTATTATCTACTTCCTAAGTTGCTAGAGCTGTGTTGAAAGGATGAAAGACTGAGTCTGTGCCAGTCATGAATGTCCTGGGGAAACTATCCATCAAGGTAAGTCCTCAATTTTCCAGAAGCATTCCTCCTCTCCCAATATACTCAACTTCATCTCCACTTGCACAACTTTCTTCATAAACTGGCTTCACTGGCAAATCCATTCCAGCCCAGCCTCATGCCTCCCTCAATATTTGCATTGGAATTGCCTCCATCTCCCCTGACAAACTGCTCCTGTCTATGACAAGGCTTGGTCAGTGTGTGGACTTCCTTACCTGCCTCATGGACTATGATGCAGTATCAGTACAATGTCACATCATCCCCCTTAGAGGTCACTGCAGGTCCCCCTTCCTTCCCTCTTATCCCTTCCACTTTCACCTGGAATTGTCCCTTAGTCACAACAATCCCATTCCCTAGATTCTCTTCCTCCTGACATTTTACCTGAAACTGGGATCTAATAGCCCTTAAACCCCCTTTCTCCTTTGCTATTCCCTACCTTACCCTACAGACATCCTTGCAAAATCCCACTTCTTCCTTTTAATCTAATCATCCCTGTTAATCCCTACCTTCCTGAAGTACTTTACAACTTCTGACATGTAGCACATTTAATCATAACCCCCCTCCTTATCTTTTTCACTATTACATCTTTCCAGTGTTGTATGACCTTTGACATCTAGCACATTTATTTTGCTTTGTAACCATTAACCATTACCCCTTTCTCTACTTTATTCTTCTGTAGTGCTATATGATCTTTGATGTTTAGTACATTTATTTTGTTTTTTAACCATTTATCATCATTAAATGGTTATATTGATTATTACTTTCCATGAAAGTTAAAAGAAATTCTTTTAATTTTGACCTAAATAAGATGAGTCCATGAATGGAGCTTGAGCCACCTTTGAGAATTACAACATCCACAACAGCTGCCAAGGTAATCAATGTAAATAATATTAAGATTAATATGAAATACATTCTTTTATGCTTTATTGAAATAATGCTTTATAGAACGTAGAGGTGACTAAATGTAATGAAATATTCAGAATTACCATATGCCTTTTTGAAATTTAAAAAAAAAGAGATAAACACTTTTGATTTGAAGTGTTGCCTTCCTTATTTCTAGTTGTCTTTATCTGCATATTCTTTGTCTATTCCATGTTTGCCTAATACGTAAATTAAATCCCCTGTTCTGGTAGATATTAACATAGAGAATTGACAAAGCCTACATTACAGCCTACCCAGGGAATGGTATTGTAGTCCAGTCATATATTTTATTTTTTATTTTTTTTAAGGGTAGAGTACTTGTCTTAGGGAAGGATAGGAAAGAGGTTAGGAAAATAACCTTCTTTTAGGTGGAATGTGATATAAACAGTACAAATCACATATATGCATCTAAAAAACAGAATATGAATGTAGCATATCTGATTTTAGAAAAGCATGATGGAGGCAATTGCTTTGTTTTAGTATTACTGGAGCAATGACACATAAGTGAGATATATCAGATTTGCTCAAGAAGTTAGGGATTTATTTGAGAGGCAAGTTGGGTTTCATATGTATTTGTCAAATATAAGAGAGAAAGATTTGTGTATGAAGAAACTTGTTTGATATGAAATGGAAGAGCCTGTTTACCATATGTGGTTTGAGTAGATTCTTAAGTATAATGTAGGCAGAAATGAGACGAAAAATGTTATGATCTAAAATAATCAACTTTCATTTGAATACAAAAATCACAACTTGAAAAAATGATAAATTTTATTAGTTTGGTATTTATCAAATCTTTATATCCATAACTTATCTTTTTAAAAAGATAGTTTATGAGGATGGTTGATAACTATATTTCTTTGTGTAATATTACAGGATTCAATTAAAGGATTCAATGTTAAAATCTTTTCTTATCAACCAGTTATGTCATAATTTTCAAATTACATTCAGTGTATCAGTTACCAAAAATAAAGAATAGAATTTAGTGTATGTGATATCTTTCACCCAATTCCTCTGGGAAAATATGGTGTTCACTGTAGTAGTTTTGTAAAATGCCTTAGCACATAGATGGAGCTGCAAGTGCTTACTTGTTTGCTTGCTTGTTGGATTTCTTGGCTCTTGACCAGCATTATAAGGCCATGTTAATGCAGCCAGCCAAGATCATTAAGCCAATGGATCCTATTCATTATTTGAATTTAGATAAAGTCATAAAGTTTTGTCTTCGTATGAAAAGTGACGATATACTATCTTTTTTATCATCTGATAATAGATTTGCTGTTGTAAAATCTTTGTTTTTTATTTAGAAATAATTTTTAATATCTTGTCCCACGGGTATTTTTGGAGACAATAGCCTCCGTCTCGCTGCCAGGGAGACGCCCAGTTGAAGATGATCTGCTCCGAGGAACACAAACTAGATGAAGTCCTAACAGGAGCTACCTGGACGAGGTGTGATCCAGAATGTGAATTGGTATCATCCTCCTTACGTTGCTGCTTTTGCTGGGTTGATTCAGCAATTTGTATAATTGTATTAATTCTTTAATCTGATTCATTAAGTCTTTAACTGTTTCCTTTAATTCTGTAATTTCCTTTAACCACAAACTCCTGGCAATACTGTGTTGTTAGTTGCTGCTGAAGCGTAAGAAGTAATGGGTTTGCTGGTCAAACCCTTCAACTTTCCTTTTGGCTTCAAGGTAACTAACACCATGACCACACATGTATGCTAATATTTCAGTCTCTTTCAGGCTGCTGCACTTAGCAGAGCCAGACTGATGGGGACCTCCACAGTTCGCACACTTGAGTGTTCTCGGTATATTCAGGGGTGTCATGAGCTTCAGCACATTTACCACTAGTGAATTTATTGATATCCTTACCAGTGCATTGTAATGAGGTGTTTCCAAATTTTTGTCCAATATAATGCATGAGTTTTTGAATATAAGATTTTGCTTGAACACGTTCATATGCAATATCGAGATTTTACTCAAGGAAAAGGTAAAGAAATGACAGTTTTTGTTCGTACATTCTCGTCTTTCAAGAATTTCACTTTCATCCATTGCCCATTTCAGTGAAAGATTACTCCCTTGCAGATATTTGGGCCAACAAGAATATTTATTTTTACCATGAAATCATGAATCTGCTTCAGTTTCAGCATGTCGTTAATCTGGGATTTGAACCACACTTTAACTAGGT